AGCAGAACCATAGCTCTGATCTCTCATCGTTTCTGGTGGCCATCCCTTCATAAGGACACGAAGGAGTATGTCCTAGCCTGTCCCATCTGCGCTCACAACAAACCATCACATCAACCTCCCTCTGGTCTTCTCCATCTACTACCTGTTCCATCTCACCCCGGGTCCCACATCGCAGTGGATTTTGTAACCGGATTGCCTGCATCCCGAGGTATGACCACCATCCTTACAATCATTGACCGATTTTCTAAAGCCTGCCACCTTGTACCCCTCAGAAAACTTCCAACAGCCTTCCAGACAGCTCAGCTCCTCGTAAAACACGTCTTTAAGTTACACGGAATCCCCCAGGAAATCTTGCCGGACAGAGGTCCTCAATTCACAGCACAGGTCTGGAAGCATTTCTGTTCAGCTCTTGACACAAACATCTCTTTAACTTCTGGTTATCACCCACAGTCAAATGGTCAAACTGAATGTCTCAACCAGGAATTAGAATCAACCCTCCGGTGCTTTACTTCTACCAACCTGATCTTCTGGGCCCAATACCTACACTGGGTAGAGTAAGCACACAACTCCCACACATCATCTGCAACCGGTCTGTCTCCCTTTGAGATTTCCCTAGGATATCAGCCACCCCTGTTCCCTGCAAATGAAAAATAAATCTCCATTCCATCTGTTCAGCATCACATCCGCCGTTGCCACAAAATCTGGAAGGACACCATTGCCGCTCTGAACCAGACATCTGCCTAGAATAAGAAATTTGCCGACCGCAAACGATGCCCAGCTCCTACTTACACGTCAGGTCAACAGGTTTGGCTCTCCACACGCGACATCCCTCTCAATACCATGTCCCGTAAACTCTCTCCCAGGTTCATCGGTCCTTACAAAATCGAATCCATCATCAACCCGTCTGCCATCCGCCTGCATCTACCACCATCACTCCGGATCCATCCTACATTCCACGTCTCCCAGATAAAACCTGTCCTGACCAGTTCTTTTTGCCCTCCGTCCGACTCCCCTCCACCCGCCCGGGACATTGATGGTCACCCTGTCTTCATTCTTGACCCTGCTCTGATTACCAAATACCGTGAGTCTCTGCCATCCACATCTTTTGGACCGCCAGGAGGCGGTCATTGAGGGGGGGTTCTGTTGGGATCTGGAGGTCTGTCCACTTTCTCCACCAGAGGGCGTACAAGATCTCCTGGTGTCGGGGCTGATTGCACCACCTGTTCCTCATCTGCTCATCAGGAGATCCGTATTTAAGGAGGCAGAGGACTTCTCTCCAGTGCCAGAGTGTTTGCCAGTAATGGTTAGCAAGCCTGAGCCAGCCAGCCTGTCTGAATCTCTGACTCCCTGAAAACCTGAACCTGATCTGTTTTCTCCTCTCTGCTTCCTAGATTGAACCTGCCTAAAACCTGAAACCCTGAAGAGTTTCTCTGCCGGTGATCTGCCTGTCTGTTCTCAGAAGAACTCTGGAGAAGTATTCCTGTCAAAGACCTGCCTGCCCGCTCTCAGAAGATACTGGAAGGAAACTCAAATCTGTGATCTGCCAGCACTCAAATTAAGCTCTGCCTCCGCCTAGCCCTCAACCTGCCGACAGCCTCTGGACCCTCAAGGTTCCCCCCCTCAGCCGCTCTGCTCAACTCCAGAACAGGTACAGCACACTCTCAACCTGCAAATAACCTGGACCTCCACTAACTCCTCTGTCCCCCTCTGCAGTGAACCCACTCGTGACCAGTCCTAGATCTGATTTATCTGTGTCCTTTTCAGAACCCACTTGTGTCCAAACGAGTTCCCCTCTGGATCTGTTCATTTATTGTGTTCAAACTTCTCAATAAATGTTTGAACTTTTCTCCAGCCTCTGAGTGTTCTGAATGTGGGTTAGACACCTAAAACCAAACATGACACATATCCTAAATTCTTCCAGATAAACTTGGTTTTCAAACACAAGATCCATCTTAAACTGTATTATGTTTTTCAACCACGTTTCCCTTCCCCTTTGTAAATAGTAGTTTAGTTTAGTTGAGTTTCAGTAGTGTTAAACTGAAATATGTTTGACTTGGAGCTGAATGATTTTTGTTAATAAACTTTTATATTTTGAACAGAGGTTGTGGTGAATTTATTCCATGTATGTGCAGAATTAACTGTTTGAGCGCGATTAATGCTCGAATCACTTAGCCTAGTAGGGCTAGTGTTCATAAACATTATATAACAGCCGAAATAATATCTGATTAAATAAGATATTTTACCAGCCCTACCAGGGAGGGCAATAAACATCTTAAAGTATCATAAATATAAACTCCCAGCTGGCTGGGAATTGAATAGAACATAAAATCACAACATTCATTGGCGTACCTTGGTGGGCACATTGAATATAACATTTAATTGGCGTCCCAGCTTGTTGGTCATCGAATATACAGTGGGGCAAAAAAGTATTTAGTCAGCCAAAATAGTGCAAGTTCTCCCACTTAAAAAGATGAGAGAGGCTGGTAATTTTCATCATAGATATACCTCAACTATGAGAGACAAAATGAGAAAAAAAAATCCAGAAAATCACATTGTCTGATTTTTAAAGAATTTATTTGCAAAATATGGTGGAAAATAAGTATTTGGTCAATAACAAAAGTTCATCTCAATACTTTGTTATATACCCTTTGTTGGCAATGACAGAGATCAAACGTTTTCTGTAAGTCTTCACAAGGTTTTCACACACTGTTGCTGGTATTTTGGCCCATTCCTCCATGCAGATCTCCTCTAGAGCAGTGATGTTCTGGGGCTGTCGCTGGGCAACACGGACTTTCAACTCCCTCCAAAGATTTTCTATGGGGTTGAGATCTGGAGACTGGCTAGGCCACTCCAGGACCTTGAAATGCTTCTTACGAAGCCACTCCTTCGTTACCCGGGCGGTGTGTTTGGGATCATTGTCATGCTGAAAGACCCAGCCACGTTTCATCTTCAATGCCCTTGCTGATGGAAGGAGGTTTTCACTCAAAATGTGACGATACATGGCCCCATTCATTCTTTCCTTCACACGGATCAGTCGTCCTGGTCCCTCAGCAGAAAAACAGCCCCAAAGCATGATGTTTCCACCCCCATGCTTCACTGTAGGTATGGTGTTCTTTGGATGCAACTCAGCATTCTCTCTCCTCCAGACACGACGAGTAGAGTTTTTACCAAAAAGTTCTATTTTGGTTTCATCTGACCATATGATATTCTCCCAGTCATGGTCTGGATCATCCAAATGCTCTCTAGCAAACTTGAGACGGGCCTTGACATGTACTGGCTTAAGCAGGGGGACACGTCTGGCACTGCAGGATTTGAGTCCCTGGCGGCGTAGTGTGTTACTGATGGTAGCCTTTGTTACTTTGGTCCCAGCTCTCTGCAGGTCATTCACTAGGTCCCCCCGTGTGGTTCTGGGATTTTTACTCACCGTTCTTGTGATCATTTTGACCCCACGGGGTGAGATCTTGCGTGGAGCCCCAGATCGAGGAAGATTATAAGTGGTCTTGCATGTTTTCCATTTTCTAATAATTGATCCCACAGTTGATTTCTTCACACCAAGCTGTTTACCTATTGCAGATTCAGACTTCCCAGCCTGGTGCAGGTCTATCATTTTGTTTCGGGTGTCCTTTGACAGCTCTCTAGTTTTGGCCATGGTGGAGTTTAGAGTGACTGTTTGAGGTTGTGGACAGGTGTCTTTTATACTGATAACGGGTTCAAACAGGTGCCATTAATGAAGGTAACGAGTGGAGGACAGAGGAGCCTCTTACAGAAGAAGTTACAGGTCTGTGAGAGCCAGAAATCTTGCTTGTTTGTAACTGATCAAATACTTATTTTCCACCATATTTTGCAAATAAATTCTTTAAAAATCAGACAATGTGATTTTCTGTATTTTTTTTCTCATTTTGTCTCTCATAGTTGAGGTATATCTATGATGAAAATTACCGGCCTCTCTCATCTTTTTGAGTGGGAGAACTTGCACTATTGGTGGCTGACTAAATACTTTTTTGCCCCACTGTAACAGTCATTCTGTACATATATGAGAATAAACTAAATTGCTTAAAATCCTTTAAAGAAAGGTGAAGTATAAGATAAATTGCTAGTAAATCCTGAAAGGTTAAGCTTTGTGCCAAAATGCTAATAAATCTTCAGAGACTGGTACAGCATGGTCTAAAATAGCTAGTTGATCTTAAATAGGGTGTAGCATTTGAAACACTGAAAGAAAAATGTTTCTTTGATATCACAGGTTTAAAAATAACCGTGACCCGTTTCTACAAACTGACTGGATTGTGTTCTTTTGAAATTTCTTCATAACTTGTGTTTTTTTGTGCCATTGGCTGAAAATGGATCCAAGCATCCTCAATTCTGGGCACATCATTGACTCCATAGGCATAGAGAAACAGAAACTGCCCAATCTCTGACAGTGTGTGGGAGAAACACAGGTAAGTGACCATGATCATCTGACAGAAGATGATGATCTCAGTTAGTCACTTACCTGGTTCAACAGTCCATATATATATATATATATATATATATATATATATATATATATATATATATATATATATATATATATATAGTTGCTAATTTAAGTTTCTCAGTTCTTAGTTTTCTTTACATATATTTACAAATTTTCCTTTTTTATTCAAATACACAATGATAACATCCTTTTATAGACAAAAGGGTGGAACTGTGGTCAGAAAATGTGGATTTCTGTTATTCCATATATTGATTTATCCTATTTACTCACTATAAAAGTTTTCACTCAGTCTATTTCATCTGCAAGGCCACAGAATTCCACTGCATGAGAGGTGTTTGTTGAAAAGACATACATATTCCCATAACGTCCCCGAATTTTCTCAAGGTTTATTCATAACATGCTACTGTTTAACCAAAGTGTCTGTAATTTGTTTTCACTCTGACTACTTCCTGTTTTTGTAATTAAGGGGAACGAACGCTGCCCAGATCAGAACAGGGCTGATAACCATGCAATAAGGGCCCGTAAGAGGAAATGATGTCACTTTACAAAGATAAAATAAAGTGCAGACTGAGTGAAATCCATTGAGTTTATTTAACTGGGGGGAATAGTTGAATACTTTTTGCCACGACATGAGGATTTTTCATTCATCATTAACGGTCATGTTTTTGACCTGGACAAAACAGGAGACGATGTGAAATCCTGAGCTGAGACCTTCTTCCTGCAAGGCAGTACGTTTAACCACATAATGATACAATGGATGTATTTCTCTGTTATTGTGTTTTTCAGTAGTGGGTGTGTTTTTCAGGGTGGAAAAAAAAAGTTATGTTTCCCTGCAGGATCAGTTTTAAGCTTAAAATAATCCCCATAATATTTGTTTTTTTCTTCATTCTGTCACTATGATACTTATAAAGCCAAAGAAAACCCAAAATGAACACAACTACAAGTTAAAACAATTAGTTATGATAAAATGATGTCAGAATGTGTTCTCTGCAGTGGTGCATCTGCTTCCTCTACAGGACAAACGGTTGGATGTCTCGAGGAAAGATATCCCAGGAGTCAAACCCAGGAAAGTGGTTCTTCCAGTCAGGCTGAAGAGGAGGAATGTTTAAAGCCATCAAGCAGCCCAGCCAGTAGCATTCAGAGGCCAGAAGTCTGAGATCCTCCTTCACTTCCCCTGGAAACTGACCTCCATGTTCCAGGAAACCAGTCTGAGGAGGAAATGTTTAATGTTAAACACTGATTGCTCCATTCAAGTTAAAAATTAAGCTACATCCTGTTTGGTTTCCAAAGATCAGCAGCAAACAAACCTTAAAAAGATCTTCTTTGCTGGTGTGGAACAGCGCCATCTGCAGGTTCTGAACTGTCAGCTGTCTGTACTCTTTGACCTGGAACACATGAACCATGCTGCTCACACATCTCCTCCAGCTGTTTAATGAATCTGCTCTAGAGTCCGGTACCTTCTGAGGAGTCGGTCCACTGCTGGAGCTGGTCTCCTGGAACATCTCCTCTATCTGCTGCTTCCTTCTCTTCATTTCTTCTGCTGCATCTCCAAAGGTTCTCTACAGAGGTCAGTTCATTATCCGTCCCATGAGACACTCAGTGTTATAAAGTCAGGCAGGTGAACTTCCTGAGAGCAGCTTTACTCCACCTGGATCAGGTCTTTGGCCTCCTTTGGCCCGATCTTCCTGGACTTCAGCCGATCTTTGATGTTCGGCCACTGCAGCAGCTTCAGGTTGTCGTACATCTCAGTCAGTCTGGTTTTACTGACCGGGTTGTTCATGCTCTCAGTGTTTCCTGTTTTAAGGGAAATGGCCACCTGTGCTGCCAGTCTGTCAAACAGTTACAGTCTGATTATTTATGCTGCAGCTCAATAAATATAATTTACCAGCTCTCTGGTCAGTACCTGTCTTTGAGAGATTTCAATTCTTTTTCTTTTTGGGCAGCAGCAGAGCTATGGAGGGAAAAAATAAAGCTTTGAGAAACAACACAAGTTCAGTTATGATCAAACACTAAACTAATATTAGCAAACTAGTAGGTATAGGTATAGGTTGTTATTGTCTGTACAAAATGACAAAATAATAAATTTCTTACCGAGCCTCATTTATCGTCTTTTTGTAAAAAAATTCCAATTGTGTCAAACTGGTAAAAAGACACAACTTATTAAAATAAGCAGTTCTAATCACTGGTTATTCATGGTATTTTTTATGATAAATAAAAATAAAACCTTTGTTTATGTTCACATCCTTGTGGTTTACAATGCTGGAGACTCGATCTCAAAGCTGGTGCTTCCTGCAGTCTTTATATAAAAACAATATTTGTCATAATTTAAAAGAATATATAAGACTGAATGTAACCGTCTTTAAAATGGTCATGGGTTGGTTGTTTTGAATTCATGTATTGATTTTAAGTGTTCAACATTTAATCAGTTAAAGTTGTAATAAATAAGTTAAAAACGTTGTTTATACAGAACAGTATATCTTAAAAATATTAACAATGTTAATGTTTTGTTAAAAAATGTTTGTTAGAAAGAATCTTCACATCTTGTTTTATTTTGAAATGTCTCGTGTTGCATAAAGGAAGTAGTGTAGACCGGAAGGATTTTACTGGTTTGTCATTGGTCCATGTACAGGAAGTGCGAGGTGCAACATGAGAGACATGAAGTTGCAGGAGTGTGTTGTAGCTTGACCACGGAGAAAAAACGTGCCGAAGTTTGCTAAAAACGGAGTTTTGTTGATGCTTGTGGACTTTGAACTCGACAGTCATTTAAAAATATCAGCTCTACATCGTTGTCTGCAACTACTAGCATTGTTTCAACCCGAAATTTGCTGTATAGTAGTGATGGTGAGATGAAGCCTCATGAGGCATTGAACCGTTTGGCCAAATTGCTTCAACGATCCCCACAGTTCATGAGGCTTCATGTGAACATGTCACCACCTACTGGTGGACAGCAGAACTACAGTTTGTAATAAAATCAGTGATTTTTTTTTGCAATTGTTTTTCTTTTTTCCCCTTTTAAGTTCCCTTGAAATTGTTAATGGTTGGTGTGTATAATAAAATCTTTTGTAAGTTTTTTTTTAAGTGTAAAATTTCCTAGAACACTCATTTAAGGTGCACCGTTTTTCTGCCATTTTAGTGAAATAAACTTTTTTTTTTGGTTTTAATCAGGTTGGAAGTTGTGTTCAACCAATCTTTTTACTAAACCGATCTAATTTTCCCAATCTATATTTTTACTCGGGCAAAACAATGCAAATTAGTCTCATCAGCCAAAATAATAAAGTTTAATCGCAACTTTTTTAAGAGAAAGACTGTTCTTGAACCATCAACCTCTACAGTGAGAGTCTGCCTCTTACAGACAACACCACTCCTGTAGATAGTCTGTCCTAGGAGAAAATCCTAGTTAATACTAACGTGTTAACACTGACTTGGTTTGGTGGTTTGCTCAAATTTTGATCATTACATTGTTTATTCAAACCAAATTAGCTTTAAGCAACTAGATTGGTTGTTTTTCCAACCAATCTATTCTTAGAATCTATCCAAATTTTATCCAGCTGACAGCAGCTCTCCTCATAACTCCCACATCCTGACTGAACACTGAGGCTGTTTAGATGCCTGTCAAAATTCTTGCGCATCCCGAACCACATACCGAAGCGGTCACGTGGTATCACGGTAGCGAGGCCTCGGACGTCATCAATTTTGGCCCCTTCTCTTAATGAATCACGCCTCGACACGCGCTTCGGGGAAACGCCCCCTCCATTACTCGACACACGCCTCGAAGCCTCGGCTCATCTCATAACATCACTACTGTATAGTAGCTGTAGGTATTGTTTCAGTGCTCGCTAATGCATTAGAATTCACCAGCAAAGTGAATGCATTTTCAGTACTGGGAGCTAGCTCAGCTAACAGAGACTCTAGTAAAGTTTCCGGCGTGGAAGCTGGGAGAGTCAAGCACTGTGCAGAGAGGTGAGCAGTACTGATTTTCTATGGATCTGATTCGGAGGACTGCATCTTCACTGGACTTTTCTGCTGCATGCTGTGTTGCTGGGGACCGAGAGACTGGTGACGAGTGACCAACATCCTGCATCCATCTTCCTTTATCAGCCGGAACCAAAGGACAGGTTCATCAACAGAAGGTTCCGAACTTTGGGGAGAGGAACCACATTCCAAAAGTTCCACATCATATCAGGCCTGTAACGAGGGAATTTTGGTTTATTTTGAACTTTATGCCGGCTTAGGTGTGAGTTAGGAAGTGTGGCCCACATATTTTGGTTTAAGTTGGACAATTGAAACTGAAACTTTATTACAGAGAGAAATTTATTTTAATTTTATTTTGCAATCATCTCAATTGTATTGTTTTGTTTGGTTGTTTTGCTCAATATAAGTTCAAAGTTCATAAACTGTTGTGAGTTGTTTGGTTATTTCAAATTATTGGATAAGAAATAAGCAGATTTAAGGCTGGATTATAACCCTGATTCTGATTTCCTTAGGTTGTGTTTAAAGTTGTTACTGTCCTCGGAGGTGAGTCAAACTCAAGTCGAAATATAAAGAGTAAATAGAGTTTAAGGGTTTTTTACGAACTCAGGGGCCCTAACCTACTTCAATGGGGTATAGGTGGGCTACATGAAGATAGAAGTCAGTTAAAGTAAATAAATTCAGTTAATGTATGTATGTATTACATGAATATAAATAAATAGAATAGATGTCTCATGTAAAACACAGATGCACAACAACACGAACCTCAGCTAAATACAGTAAAATTTAACAACCAACAAATGGATAATTTATCTGGAAAAATCAAAATTACCATGTAAACTGTTAGATTGTTTTACATCAGTACCTTCTGTTTAAGGATTCAAGTTCCTCCTCTTTCTTTCTGAAATTAGTTCTGCAGAGAGCAAAATAAACCATGTTGTTATTTAACTAAGGTTTACATTTATTCTCGACAATTGGAGCCTGTATTGTTTTTTTATTTCATGTGAGTTATAATAATCTGAAATAAACAATGAACTGAATAATTGTCTCATGTAAAACACAGATGCACAACAACACTAACCTCATCTCCTCCAGCTCCTTTTCATGGGATGTTTTCATCTGGGTCAATCTGCTGCAAAATACAACAAATAAAAACTTCTCATAAGACAAATATTGCAGGAACATTATGGCATGTAGTGCCGTTCACTAGTTTTCTAGCACAAATTAGAAAGAATTAATCCATTCAAATAAGAATAGAAAAAGTTAGAACAATCATCAGACAGTAAATGATCTTGTTGTGTGAACAATACCTTTTATTAAGTGATTCTAGTTCATCTTCTTTCTGTTTAAGCTCAGACCTGAACAATGAAGAATACATATTTCTATCACAAATTAGAAAGAATTAATCAATTTAGAAAATAAGAATTGAAAAAGTTGAAACTTTCATGTTATATTCCAGTTTGGTAGCATTACATTTGATTGGCTAATTTAATTATTTTCCTTTTTGTTCTAAAGCAGGCATGTAGAGGATAAATGAAACATTTAAACATTTTTTAAAGAAACAAATGATTAATAATTATTTTAACAGAAATCCATAGGAAACTTAGGGAACTGGAATTATGTTTGAAGTAATTACTCATTAATAATAATCCCTCTAAGCAGTGTGCCTGCGTAATTCTACACTGCTCAGGCATTTTCACACATGACATTATTTGTCATCATTTATAAGGATGTGTAGAACTAAAGATAGAAGTCAGTTAATAAATAAATTCAGTTAATGTATGTACTGCTTATTTTCAAGAATGTTTTCTTTTGGCACTTTACATAAATATAAATAAATAGAATAAATGGGTAAGTAACATGTGTTTCCTTGGCTAATAATTCACCTGAATTGCTCATTGCAAAAGGGTGTTTGTTTTCCATTTTGTGTTATATTTAAGCTGTGTTGTTTGAGATAATCTCTGTTGCCCCCTTGTGCCTGTCTCTTTTCCCCTAACTCCCTTCTAGATATTTTTATCCACCTCTGCTCCATATCAGCTCATTTGCCCATTCTTTGTTCTGTCACCGTATAATCACACTTAGAAACTTTGGTTTAACTCAACATGTTAAACAACCGACGCACAAACAGGGACATATTTTAGACTTGATCATCACTAAAGGTCTGAAGATTTCTAAAGTCAGTGTTACTGATGTTGCCCTATCTGATCACTTTTCTGTTACCTTTGAGGGCATCATTTCCAGTGACTCATTTAGCCAAAGAGACATCATAAGAAAACGCACCTCTAAGGAAAATGCCACAGAAACTTTTATTCAAGCTTACTCTGCTACTTCAACCTTGGGGTGCAACTCAGTAGATGAGCTAGTAGATAACTTTCAGTCTAAAGTCTCAGACATCATTAGCTGCATCGCTCCAATTAAAGTGAAAGTCTTTTCCAGATAGAAAAAATCTCCTTGGAGAAGTGCTCCAGCAGTTAGAAGTGAAAAAAGTCAAAAAGCTGAACGCAGGTGGAGAAAGACGAGACTCCAGGTTCACTATGACATCTATAAAGAGAGACTTTACAGATATAGCTTACAACTGAAAAATGCAAGAGAATCTTTCTTCTCTGAAATCATTAACAAGAACATTAATAATACTCGTGCTTTATTTGCCACAGTCGACAAGCTAACAAATCCTCCTGTGTCCGTGGCTCCTGAACTCCACTCCACCCGGGCCTGCAATGAATTTGCTAATTTCTTTACTGAGAAAATCCTAAAGATCAGAGGATCAGTTTATACATCCATATCAAGTTCAGTAGCAAAGTTGTCTCCAACTGGACTTGATCTTGACCAAATGTCCCAATTCAGCCAAATAAACTATAAAAGCTTAGAGGAAATCATTCAGCAGCTAAGTTCCTCCTCCTGCTGCCTTGATGTTCTACCCACAGCTTGCTTTAAGAAAGTTTTGCCTGTCATAGCGTCTGATTTGACTCAGATAATAAACACGTCCCTTCTGTCAGGTGTTTTCCTGCAGTCCCTAAAAACAGCAAATATCAAACCACTGCCTGAAAAAGAACAGTTTAGACAAACTACTACTGCAGAACTACAGGCCCATATCAAACCTCCCCTTTATCAGTAAGATTATTGAAAAAGCAGTGTTTCAACAGTTAAACACTTTCTTAGATATGACCAGCCGCTTTGACGTGTTCCAGTCAGGTTTCCGTGCTCACCACAGTACAGAGACTGCCCTTATCAAGGTGTTTAATGACATCCGTATAAATACAGACTGTGGAAGAACCACAGTGCTGGTACTATTGGACCTCAGTGCAGCATTCGATACTGTAGATCACTCCATCCTGTTAGAGCGCCTGGAAAACTGGGCTCGGCCTCTCTGGTACAGCTCTCAACTGGTTTAAATCCTACTTAAAGGACAGGGACTTTTTTGTGTCAGTAGGCAACTTTACATCAGAGATGACAAAAATCACATGTGGGGTTCCCCAAGGGTCCATTCTGGGTCCCCTCCTATTCAATATCTACATGCTCCCTCTGGCTCAGTTAATAAAAAACAACAACATCAGCTACCATAACTATGCAGACGACACACAGCTTTACATCACCATGTCACCAGGTGACTATGAACCAATTCAAGCACTGAGGAAATGCTTAGAAGAAATCAATGCCTGGATGTGCCATAATTTTCTTCAACTGAATAAAAACCAAACTGAAGTAATAATCTTTGGACCAATAGAGGAGAGATCTAAAGTTAGCACACAGCTTCAGTCGCTTCAGCTAGTAACCACTGATCAGGCCCGAAGTCTAGGTGTAGTGCTGGATTCAGACTTGAACCTCCAAAAGCATTTAAAGACAATTACAAGGTGGGCTTTCTATCACCTGAAGAACATTTCCAGGATTAAAGGACTAATGTCTCAGCATGATCTGGAAAAACTAATCCATGCGTTTATTTTTAGTCGAATTGATTACTGCAACGGTGTTTTCACAGGTCTGCCTAAAAAGTGGATCAGACAGCTGCAGCTGATCCAGAACGCTGCTGCCCGTGTCCTCACTAAGACTAAGAAAGTAGAGCACATCACCCCAGTTCTAAAGTCCTTCCACTGGCTCCCTGTATCTCAGAGAATAGACTTTAAAATCCTTCTGTTAGTCTATAAATCTCTGAATGGCTTAGCACCTAAATACATCACAGACTTGCTATCAGTGTATCAACCCTCCAGACCACTCAGGTCTTCTGGCTCCAGCCTGCTCTGCAGACCTAGAACCAGAACTAAACATGGAGAAGCAGCATTTAGTTCCTATGCTCCACTTATCTGGAACAAACTTCCAGAAAACTGGAAAAGTGCGGAAAGCCTGAGTTCCTTTAAATCAAGACTAAAAACACATTAGTTTAGGATTGCCTTCCACTGTTCTAGTTAAACAGTTCAACTGAAACATATTTTCTTTAGTCCAACTGTTTTTATTATTTTTTTTGTTTCTGCATTTTTTTATTTTATTTTTTCCTACTTGCTTTGATTCCGTTTTATTTTCCTGTATTTTAATCATGTAAAGCACTTTGCATTGTCTTTGTACTGAACTGTGCCATACAAATAAATTTGCCTTGCCTTGCCTTGCCTAAACCTCCTCTGAAGGTCTTCATTGCTGGTTTCTTGTTGTTACTTTGCTCCACCCTTACGTCTCGTCGTTTTCGGTTTCCTTTATTGCCTTTTTTCATCAAATCAATAAAACTCATCTCTCCCTCCTCATACCTGCATTTTGGTCCTCAACAAACCTCAATCTAACCCTAACACTTTTGTTATGATATACACGATTCAGTTCAATTCAATTCAGTTTTTTTATATAGCGCCAAATTCACAACACGTCATCTCAAGGCACTTTACAGTTCAACCAGATCATCCAGTCAAATTGATACAAAGTTTTCTATCTAAGGAAAACCAGTTGATTGCATCGACTCATTGACTCTTCAGCAATCCCTCACACTAAGCATGTTTGTAGCAACAGTGGAGAGGAAAAACTCCCTTTGAACAGGAAGAAACCTCCAGCAGAACCAGGCTCAGTGTGAGCGGCCATCTGCTGAGGCCCACTGGGTTCAAGGAGACAGAAGCAGACATAGAAAAAGAAGCATAGATACAAAAGGCAACCGTAAAAGGCGGCCCCGTCCAGGAAACAGCCAGGCAGACGAGCTCCGAGCCAGCTCCCATGTCAGAGGATGAAGAGAGCACATCCACCCAGGATTCAGGACCTGATTGGCTTATACAGTTCTTAAATCAGTTGGTAATGATAATTATCAGATTTAAAAAAAGCGTCTTCCTGCTCAGAGTGGCAGAGAGTGGGATTTCCATGGGGTCAACCCGGTTTTTACCATCTTTTAGATAAGCAAGGGTTTTCTGATGGAGAATGACCTGGTCTGTCCTGTGACATCCCCTACTGTGACTAAACTATTGCTGAACTTTAATGGATGGCTTATCCATTATGAACAGTCACACTAAGGAGGCCTCTAGGTGGCAGTAGATAAATTGCCTTTCTTTATAATTATAGGCTAACGTTGCCTTGGCTAAAATAAATTAAATAATGTGTGCATAGGAAACCAAAACAGCCTTTATTTAATTAGATGAAACCCAAATTGCAGTAAAATGCTGAAACTGTGTTCTTGAGTGAAAACATTTGGTCTTTAAGGTTTTGCTTGTGATTACTTTTGATCCCTGATTAATATTACATCATCGGGGGACTGTTGATTGTTTACTCCTTGATTCTATGATGCTGTGAGAAACGTGTCAGAAATCATGTTTTCCCAAGTAGTTTGTTTAGTTAGGACAGTTTACTGTCAGGATATCCAGTTATCATCTTTATTCTCTACGTGGCAAAGATTTGGGAATGGAATGAGAATTCCTGGATGGAAAGCAAAACGTCTTCAAACTTGGAAAGAAAGTCCAGTGGATTGTTATTAATTTTCTTTTTATTTTAACTCTTTTTTTTTTATGTAAACACGTAGAAATATAAATAGTAATTTAAAAGTTATATAGGTTAATGATCCGATCCAAATACAGTAAAATTTAACAACCAACAAATGGATAATTTATCTGGAAAAATCTAAATTTGATGGATCTGGAGCTGTACCACCTTCCTCCAGCAGAGTGCGCCGTGGGTCTCCAAGAGCTGGAGTCTTCCAGTACACCTGAGGCGCATCTTCTCATCAGAGACCTGCCCTATATAACCATCTGCCAGACCTTGCTTCGACGCCGCAGTGTTGACCTAGTTTGGTTAGGGACCTGAGCCTAGAACCTGAGAATCTTTGCTGTCTCTTGAAAGAGATCTGATTCAAATTCTACCTTGTTTTTTGCCTCACAGGAACCCTGTCTCTACCTGAGGCTCTGGATGAGCTTAACCTGCTGAGATTGCCCTCGTGAGCCAAACCTGAAGATTCCTGTGTGGATTCCCCTGCTGCTCTTAGTTAAGAGCTGGAAACTCAGATCAAGGTCTGCCATTCAAAGTCAGAAGCAAGACGCTGCAGCAGCAATTTGGACTCTGCTGAACAAACAGTCTCTGAACCAATCAGTTCCCTCTCTCTCAAAGAGAAGCCTGGACTCCTTCAAGGTATTCACCTGAACAATCTAAGACTCATAACTCATCAGTCCGTTTCCTAATCAAACTATCACCTTTGCAGACTCCAGTGAACCTGCCCTGACCAGTTCCAGAACCAGTTTATGATCTTGTGTTTTTGTGCAAACCAAATAAACTCTGTTAAACTTTTACCCAGCCTCCGTTGTGTTCTGCATATGGGCTAAGAACTTAAGACACATCATGACAAAATGACCATGTAAACTGTTAGATTTTATTACATCAGTACCTTCTGTTTAAGGATTCAAGTTCCTCCTCTTTCTTTCTGAAATTAGTTCTGCAGAGAGCAAAATAAACCATGTTGTTATTTAACTAAGGTTTACATTTATTCTTGACAATTGGAGCCTGTATTGTTTTTTTATTTCATGTGAGTTCTAATAATCTGAAATAAACAATGAACTGAATAATTGTCTCATGTAAAACACAGATGCACAACAACACTAACCTCATCTCCTCCAGCTCCTTTTCATGGGATGTTTCCATCTGGGTCAATCTGTTGCAAAATACAACAAATAAAAACTTCTCATAAGACAAATATTGCAGGAACATTATGGCATGTAGTGCCGTTCACTAGTTTTCTGGCACAAATTAGAAAGAATTCATCAATCTATTCAAATAAGAATTGAAAAAGTTTGAACAATCATCAGACAGTAAATGATCTTGTTGTGTGAACAATACCTTTTATTAAGTGATTCTAGTTCATCTTCTTTCTGTTTAAGCTCAGACCTGAACAATGAAGAATACTTATTTCTATCACAAATTAGAAAGAATGAATCAATTTAGAAAATAAGAATAAAAAAAGTTTAAACTTTCATGTTATATTCCAGTTTGGTAGCATTACATTTGATTGGCTAATTTAATTATTTTCCTTTTTGTTCTAAAGCAGGCATGTAGAGAATAAATGAAACATTTAAACATTTTTAAGAAACAAATGATTAATAATTATTTTAACAGAAATCCATAGCAAACTTAGGGAACTGGAATTATGTTTGAAGTAATTATAATCCCTCTAAGCAGTGTGCCTGCGTAATTCTACACTGCTCAGGCATTTTCACACATGACATTATTTGTCATCATTTATAAGGATGTGTAGAACTAAAGATAGAAGTCAGTTAATAAATAAATTCAGTTAATGTATGTACTGCTTATTTTCAAGAATGTTTTCTTTTGGCACTTTACATAAATATAAATAAATAGAATAAATGGGTAAGTAACATGTGTTTCCTTGGCTAATAATTCACCTGAATTGCTCATTGCAAAAGGGTGTTTGTTTTCCATTTTGTGTTATATTTAAGCTGTGTTGTTTGAGATAATATCTGTCGCCCCCTTGTGCCTGTCTCTTTCCCCCTAACTCCCTTCTAGATATTTTTATCCACCTCTGCTCCATATCAGCTCATTTGCCCATTCTTTGTTCTGTCACCCATATAATCACACTTAGAAACTTTGGTTTAACTCAACATGTTAAACAACCGACGCACAAACAGGGACATATTTTAGACTTGATCATCACTAAAGGTCTGAAGATTTCTAAAGTCAGTGTTACTGATGTTGCCCTATCCGATCACTTTTCTGTTACCTTTGAGGGCATCATTTCCAGTGACTCATTTAGCCAAAGGGACATCATAAGAAAACGCACCTTTAAGGAAAATGCCACAGAAACTTTTATTCAAGCTTACTCTGCTACTTCAACCTTGGGTTGCAACTCAGTAGAAGAGCTAGTAGATAACTTTCAGTCTAAAGTCTCAGACATCATTAGCTGCATTGCTCCAATTAAAGTGAAAGTCTTTTCCGGAAAGAAAAAATCTCCTTGGAGAAGTGCTCCAGCTGTTAGAAGTGAAAAAAGTCGAAAAGCTGAACGCAGGTGGAGAAAGACGAAACTCCAGGTTCACTATGACATCTATAAAGAGAGACTTTACCCTTCAGCAGCTAAGTTCCTCCTCCTGCTGCCTTGATGTTCTACCCACAGCTTTCTTTAAGAAAGTTTTGCCTGTCATAGCGTCTGATTTGACTCAGATAATAAACACGTCCCTTCTGTCAGGTGTTTTCCTGCAGTCCCTAAAAACAGCAAATATCAAACCACTGCTGAAAAAGAACAGTTTAGACAAACTACTACTGCAGAACTACAGGCCCATATCAAACCTCCCCTTTATCAGTAAGATTATTGACAAAGCTGTGTTTCAACAGTTAAACACTTTCTTAGATATGACCAGCCGCTTTGACGTGTTCCAGTCAGGTTTCCGTGCTCACCACAGTACAGAGACTGCCCTTATCAAGGTGTTTAATGACATCCGTATAAATACAGACTGCGGAAGAACCACAGTGCTGGTACTATTGGACCTCAGTGCAGCATTCGATACTGTAGATCACTCCATCCTGTTAGAGCGCCTGGAAAACTGGGTCGGCCTCTCTGGTACAGCTCTCAACTGGTTTAAATCCTACTTAAAGGACAGGGACTTTTTTGTGTCAGTAGGCAACTTTACATCAGAGATGACAAAAATCACATGTGGGGTTCCCCAAGGGTCCATTCTGGGTCCCCTCCTATTCAATATCTACATGCTCCCTCTTGCTCAGTTAATAAAAAACAACAACATCAGCTACCATAACTATGCAGACGACACACAGCTTTACATCACCATGTCACCAGGTGACTATGAACCAATTCAAGCACTGAGGAAATGCTTAGAAGAAATCAATGCCTGGATGTGCCATAATTTTCTTCAACTGAATAAAAACAAAACTGAAGTAATAATCTTTGGACCAATAGAGGAGAGATCTAAAGTTAGCACACAGCTTCAGTCGCTTCAGCTAGTAACCACTGATCAGGCCCGAAGTCTAGGTGTAGTGCTGGATTCAGACTTGAACCTCCAAAAGCATTTAAAGACAATTACAAGGTGGGCTTTCTATCACCTGAAGAACATTTCCAGGATTAAAGGACTAATGTCTCAGCATGATCTGGAAAAACTAATCCATGCGTTTATTTTTAGTCGAATTGATTACTGCAACAGTGTTTTCACAGGTCTGCCTAAAAAGTGGATCAGACAGCTGCAGCTGATCCAGAACGCTGCTGCCCGTGTCCTCACTAAGACTAAGAAAGTAGAGCACATCACCCCAGTTCTAAAGTCCTTCCACTGGCTCCCTGTATCTCAGAGAATAGACTTTAAAATCCTTCTGTTAGTCTATAAATCTCTGAATGGCTTAGCACCTAAATCCATCACAGACTTGCTATCAGTGTATCAACCCTCCAGACCACTCAGGTCTTCTGGCTCCAGCCTGCTCTGCAGACCTAGAACCAGAACTAAACATGGAGAAGCAGCATTTAGTTCCTATGCTCCACTTATCTGGAACAAACTTCCAGAAAACTGGAAAAGTGCGGAAAGCCTGAGTTCCTTTAAATCAAGACTAAAAACACATTTGTTTAGGATTGCCTTCCACTGTTCTAGTTAAACAGTTCAACTGAAACATATTTTCTTTAGTCCAACTGTTTTTAATATTCTTTTTTGTTTCTGCATTTTTTTATTTTATTTTTTCCTACTTGCTTTGATTCCGTTTTATTTTCCTGTATTTTAATCATGTAAAGCACTTTGCATTGTCTTTGTACTGAACTGTGCCATACAAATAAATTTGCCTTGCCTTGCCTTGCCTAAACCTCCTCTGAAGGTCTTCATTGCTGGTTTCTTGTTGTTACTTTGCTCCACCCTTACGTCTCGTCGTTTTCGGTTTCCTTTATTGCCTTTTTTCATCAAATCAATAAAACTCATCTCTCCCTCCTCATACCTGCATTTTGGTCCTCAACAAACCTCAATCTAACCCTAACACTTTTGTTATGATATACACGATTCAGTTCAATTCAATTCAGTTTTTTTATATAGCGCCAAATTCACAACACGTCATCTCAAGGCACTTTACAGTTCAACCAGATCATCCAGTCAAATTGATACAAAGTTTTCTATCTAAGGAAAACCAGTTGATTGCATTGACTCATTGACTCTTCAGCAATCCCTCACACTAAGCATGTTTGTAGCAACAGTGGAGAGGAAAAACTCCCTTTGAACAGGAAGAAACCTCCAGCAGAACCAGGCTCAGTGTGAGCGGCCATCTGCTGAGGCCCACTGGGGTTCAAGGAGACAGAAGCAGACATAGAAAAAGAAGCATAGATACAAAAGGCAACCGTAAAAGGCGGCCCCGTCCAGGAAACAGCCAGGCAGACGAGCTCCGAGCCAGCTCCCATGTCAGAGGATGAAGAGAGCACATCCACCCAGGATTCAGGACCTGATTGGCTTATACAGTTCTTAAATCAGTTGGTAATGATAATTATCAGATTTAAAAAAAGCGTCTTCCTGCTCAGAGTGGCAGAGAGTGGGATTTCCATGGGGTCAACCCGGTTTTTACCATCTTTTAGATAAGCAAGGGTTTTCTGATGGAGAATGACCTGGTCTGTCCTGTGACATCCCCTACTGTGACTAAACTATTGCTGAACTTTAATGGATGGCTTATCCATAATGAACAGTCACACTAAGGAGGCCTCTAGGTGGCAGTAGATAAATTGCCTTTCTTTATAATTATAGGCTAACGTTACCTTGGCTAAAATAAATTAAATAATGTGTGCATAGGAAACCAAAACAGCCTTTATTTAATTAGATGAAACCCAAATTGCAGTAAAATGCTGAAACTGTGTTCTTGAGTGAAAACATTTGGTCTTTAAGGTTTTGCTTGTGATTACTTTTGATCCCTGATTAATATTACATCATCGGGGGACTGTTGATTGTTTACTCCTTGATTCTATGATGCTGTGAGAAACGTGTCAGAAACCATGTTTTCCCAAGTAGTTTGTTTAGTTAGGACAGTTTACTGTCAGGATATCCAGTTATCAGCTTTATTCTGCATGTGGCAAAGATTTGGGAATGCTCTTTTTTTATGTAAACACGTAGGAATATAAATAGTAATTTAAAAGTTATATAGGTGAATGATCCGAAGTCAAATACAGTAAAATTTAACAACCAACAAATGGATAATTTATCAGGAAAAATCAAAATTACCATGTAAACTGTTAGATTGTTTTTATATCATTACCTTCTGTTTAAGGATTCAAGTTCCTCCTCTTTCTTTCTGAAATTAGTTCTGTAGAGAGCAAAATAAACCATGTTGTTATTTAACTAAGGTTTACATTTATTCTGGACAATTGGAGCCTGTATTGTTTTTTTATTTCATGTGAGTTCTAATAATCTGAAATAAACAATGAACTGAATAATTGTCTCATGTAAAACACAGATGCACAACAACACGAACCTCATCTCCTCCAGCTCCTTTTCATGGGATGTTTCCATCTGGGTCAATCTGTTGCAAAATACAACAAATAAAAACTTCTCATAAGACAAATATTGCAGGAACATTATGGCATGTAGTGCCGTTCACTAGTTTTCTAGCACAAATTAGAAAGAATTAATCAATTTAGAAAATAAGAATTGAAAAAGTTAGAACAATCATCAGACAGTAAATGATCTTGTTGTGTGAACAATACCTTTTATTAAGTGATTCTAGTTCATCTTCTTTCTGTTTAAGCTCAGACCTGAACAATGAAGAATACATATTTCTATCACAAATTAGAAAGAATTAATCAATTTAGAAAATAAGAATAGAAAAAGTTGAAACTTTCATGTTATATTCCAGTTTGGTAGCATTACATTTGATTGGCTAATTTAATTATTTTCCGTTTTGTTCTAAAGCAGGCATGTAGAGGATAAATGAAACATTTAAACATTTTTTAAAGAAACAAATGATTAATAATTATTTTAACAGAAATCCATAGCAAACTTAGGGAACTGGAATTATGTTTGAAGTAATTACTCATTAATAATAATCCCTCTAAGCAGTGTGCCTGCGTAATTCTACACTGCTCAGGCATTTTCACACATGACATTATTTGTCATCATTTATAAGGATGTGTAGAACTAAAGATAGAAGTCAGTTAATAAATAAATTCAGTTAATGTATGTATGTATGTATTACATGAATATAAATAAATAGAATAATTGTCTCATGTAAAACACAGATGCACAACAACACTAACCTCATCTCCTCCAGCTCCTTTTCATGGGATGTTTCCATCTGGGTCAATCTGTTGCAAAATACAACAAATAAAAACTTCTCATAAGACAAATATTGCAGGAACATTATGGCATGTAGTGCCGTTCACTAGTTTTCTATTCCATCTGGGTATGCAAAATAGGAGAGGCTTACCCTAAATGAGGTGGATGTTAAGAGGTTAAATTAGTTGGTAATGATAATTATCAGATTTTAAAAAAGCGTCTTCCTGCTCAGAGTGGCAGAGAGTGGGATTTCCATGGGGTCAACCCGGTTTTTCCTATCTTTTAGATAAGCAAGGGTAATCTGATGGAGAATGACCTGGTCTGTCCTGTGACATCCCCTACTGTGACTAAACTATTGCTGAACTTTAATGGATGACTTATCCATAATGAACAGTCACACTAAGGAGGCCTCTAGGTGGCAGTGACAGTAGATAAATTACCTTTTTTTATAATTATAGGCTAACGTTGCCTTGGCTAAAATAAATTAAATAATGTGTGCATAGGAAACCAAAACAGCCTTTATTTAATTAGATGAAACCCAAATTGCAGTAAAATGCTGAAACTGTGTTCTTGAGTGAAAACATTTGGTCTTTAAGGTTTTGCTTGTGATTACTTTTGATCCCTGATTAATATTACATCATCGGGGGACTGTTGATTGTTTACTCCTTGATTCTATGATGCTGTGAGAAACGTGTCAGAAATCATGTTTTCCCAAGTAGTTTGTTTAGTTAGGACAGTTTACTGTCAGGATATCCAGTTATCATCTTTATTCTCTACGTGGCAAAGATTTGGGAATGGAATGAGAATTCCTGGATGGAAAGCCAAACGTCTTCAAACTTGGAAAGAAAGTCCAGTGGATTGTTATTAATTTTCTTTTTTCTTTAAACTCTTTTTCTATGTAAACACGTAGAAATATAAATAGTAATTTAAAAGTTATATAGGTGAATGATCCAAAGTCAAATACAGTAAAATTTAACAACCAACAAATGGATAATTTATCTGGAAAAATCTAAATTACCATGTAAACTGTTAGATTGTTTTACATCAGTACCTTCTGTTTAAGGATTCAAGTTCCTCCTCTTTCTTTCTGAAATTAGTTCTGCAGAGAGCAAAATAAACCATGTTGTTATTTAACTAAGGTTTACATTTATTCTGGACAATTGGAGCCTGTATTGTTTTTTTATTTCATGTGAGTTATAATAATCTGAAATAAACAATGAACTGAATAATTGTCTCATGTAAAACACAGATGCACAACAACACTTACCTGATTTTCTGGAGCTCACTTTCATGAGAAGTTTTTGTCTCAGTCATTCTGAGTTTAAGATAAAACAGATCATGTTCTTCACAGCACAGAATCACCAGTAACAGTATGTTATCTTCTTGTGTGAACAATACCTTTTATTAAGTGATTCTAGTTCATCTTCTTTCTGTTTAAGCTCAGACCTGAACAATGAAGAATACATATTTCTATCACAAATTAGAAAGAATTAATCAATTTAGAAAATAAGAATTGAAAAAGTTTGAACAATCATCAGACAGTAAATGATCTTGTGTGAACAATACCTTTTATTAAGTGATTCTAGTTCATCTTCTTTCTGTTTAAGGTCAGACCTGAACAATGAAGAATACATATTTGGAAATCATCAATATTGCAACCCAGCCCCAACAAAATCTGGGTAAAATAACTTTTATATTATACACTAGGGTGACCATATTTTCATTTGGGAAAACCAGGACACCTTGGAGCCGGGGGGGTGGGGGTGGGGGGTGGGGGGCGAGGGGGTGGGGGGGTGATATTGAAAGAACAAATATCTCATCATCGGTATTTGCTCCGTGATCAGAGGAAATGTTACTTGGCGCAGAACAGTTGTGAAAATTTGAAGTTCAGTTTAATATAATAATACAACTCTGTGAATAGTTCCGTCTGAGATTAATGAAAATAGTTGTTTTAATGGTTATTGAGTCAGATATGTGGCGGTAATGTTTGATTTATCTAAAGGTTTTAATCTGTTACTGTGTAAATGGGTTTGGCTGGAATTTAAGGTCAGATTCTAATAAATCTGCAGGGTGGGAACTATAAATCTGATAGGATTTTTATTTTTTTATTGTTGTTTTGCACAATATGCTTAACTAAGTATTTTTTGTTGTTGAATATCAGAGATTTTGCAGATATATTTTGTAGATACATTGTTTAGATTTACTTATATCTTTCTACCCCTTTTATAGAATAGAATAGAAAATCCCTTTATTGTCCCACAATGGGCAAATTTACAGCAGCAGAAAGATTATTGAAAATAGTCACACAAATGAGGACCTTAGAGAAAAGTATAAGAATAACATAATAGGGAAGAGTTAAAATATAAAAAATAAAATTCTGTAAAGTGTTTTAACAATATAAAACTGGAGAATAAATAACCAATATGCAGCTATTGACATTTTTACAGTAATGGATATTTGAAAATAGCAGCAACATCAGAGATGTGCAGAATGACAGCAGCAGGTTATTTAACTGACTAAGGTTTCTATCATTACATTTGATTTGATTTGTTCCTGCTCCCGCTGGTTGGAACCTTTATTCCACTCTGGATTCTTGTGAGTGTAGTCTTTGTTCACTTTAACTTTTTAAAAAAATAAATAATCATAAATAAACAAACAGTTTTGAAAACCTCGGTATAGATTCTTTTCCTGCTTTGTGTGTCAACTTTCACGGTTGCTAAGCAACAGAGCATACGCCGGCAAAACCCGCTGAAGGGAGGACCTGTTCAAATTTACAGCCAGAACTCTTCCGGCCTCCTTATTTTCAAGGACTTCGAAGGATCCAGTCTAGGTAGACCGCGTCCTTGGAGGACTCAGCCCAGGTTTTTGAACAGAGCCTCTGATAAGAACAGGGCTGCCCGCACTGACGCAGCTCAGGGATTACGTCACACGGAGCGTCGTGCGCAGTGAAATCAGGACATTTCCTCACTTTCTAAAAAAAACCCGGGACGCCCGGGACAGGACGTGAAATACGGATATGTCCCGGGAAATACGGACGTTTGGTCACCCTATTATACACCATAAATTTACCAGGAATTCTGTCTGACAAAGGTCCAACTTAGCAGTGTGTCTATGAAATTAAAACTGGATCCTTGGACACTGGGATTATAGGAAGTACCCCACATCCTCCTCAACATTTCAGTTCATATCCATGTGATTTGGTCACGTGGAAATCAACTATGAAAAAAACACTTGATGGAAGTGTTTTTCAAGAGACGCAATTTTGTGGAAAATACATTAAAAATAGCCTTTAATACGGAACATTTGGAGTCCAATCTCAGAAACGAATGAGTATATTGAGACTCAATTAGGTTAAAATAAGTGGTAATGATAATGATATTCAATTGTTATAATAACTGTAATGTTTTCTTTCAGATTGTGACGTTACTTTTGTTTTACTGACCTCAGTTCTTCTTTTTTCCTGTTTTCAAGGGAAATGTGAGAAACATATTTAATGGTTATATGATCTCAGAAGAGATTTGATACAGTGAAGTAAATATCACCAATGTTTCAATAGCCCATGGTCTTTCTACCCCCCTTGGAAGGAATTATTTGAGTCTCACTGAGCAAGAGGAAGCCTCCACCAGATCTGTTCAAGCCCACTTCAGGAAACCCGGTGACAGTCCATTCCATTGCTCCTCTGGACCCAAAGCAAGTCTGCTTGTCCACCCTCCAACACCCTCGTTGAGGTCAACCAGCAGACCAAGTTAAACAGACGAGTGTTTAATTTAACTGAAGCTATTTGTTTCACTTCTCTCCAGGCTCCCGGCCCGGCCGGCGAGGTTGCCCCGCCTCAAGCAACTCAAACCCCTGTTTTTTTCCTCTTTTTCTGAGTGCCAGCTGCCCAGTCCGCCTAGGTTCGATGGGGACCCCAAGAAGTGCCGGGGTTTCCTCATGTACTGTATAATCCAGTTCAAACATGCTCCCAGTAAGTTTTTTTTTGCTTTCTTCCAAGATTTCTTATATAATCTCCCATCTGACAGACCAAGCTTTGGACTGGGCAGAGGTGAGATTTTCTTCTACTCCTGATTATGGTTGCACCTTTGAAGAGTTTCTATCTGAGTTTAAGCAGACCTTTAATCAGGACCCAGATAAGACTCCTGAGACCTGTTGAAGCTTAAACAGGGACAGAAGTCAGTATCTGATATCTCCATAGACTTCCGCGTTAAGACTGCGGCTTCAGGGTGGAATAGCGCAGCCCTCAAATGTGTTTATTCTAACACCTTAAATGATCCTATTAAGGATGAACCTGCAACTCTCGATGATCCAGAGATGCTGTAGGACCTCATAAAGCTATCGATCCAATTGGATACCCGGATTAGAGCCCTAGCTAAGGAGAGAGGTAATAGAACCACACATTCCAAACCTCTTCCTGTTTCCAACCACTTAGCTTCAGCAGAGGCCTTTTCCAGACCTTCCGCTCCTGAACCCATGCAGATAGGAAGCACGAGACTTAGTCCTGAGCAGAAGCAGCACCGTATGTGGGCTAAGCTTTGTCTCTACTATGGCGAGGCTGGTCATTTTGTTTCAGTCTGTCCCTTGCTGTTAAAAGCCAGGGTCCACCAGTAAAGGCGAGGGTGCTGGTGGACCAAAAGATTTCTTCTAACTTTGCCTGCTTCACTCCTGATTAACAATCAGTCCCTTTCCCTATCTGCTTTATTCAACTCCGGCTGTGAGCAAAATTTATTGGATTTATCTTTTGTGCAACAGATGGGTATAGAGACCATACCCCTTCAAGCCCCTCTTCGAGTTTTTGCCCTTGATCGCAGAAATCTGCCTCAGATAACCCATCAGACCTGGCCCATTCAACTAACTGTATCAGGCAATCACACTGAGTTATCTCCTTCTACGTCTTGCCTACTGGTAACTCTGCCATGATTCTAGGTTTCAAATGGCTGCAGCTTCACAACCCTGTAATCAATTGGTCTCTGGTTTAAACCCCACAAACTGGACCCAGCTCTCCAGCCAGTCTCAGTCATTTTCCCTACGGACCTTGAACTGATCTTTGTGATCTCCCCTAACAGTTTCCGGTTCACCAGACCGCTGAAGTCCCGCTGCAATGACCCTGCATATAATCTCTCCCTCTGTTAACCTTTCCCCTGGCTCTCTGAGTGAATCTCTGCATGTGGGTGAGATCTTTAAAACCCATCATGACAATATGTAGAGCTTTTCCTTGGGTGAAATAAATGTTTCTCCAATACTGAAATGATGCTGTTTGTCATTTTCTAAGTTGAAATGTTGAATGACATGAAAAGGTGAGTAAAGATAAAATACAATTAAAGCCGCAAGCGGCATTGTGTGGACCTCGCCGCTCGCACTGCCTGGCCTATCGCGACCGCGGGAACAAAGCGACCGGCGCCTCCACGCTCTTTCCCAGCCTATGTTCCTGCTCTTCATCCCTTGCCTGCTGCTGCTTCTCCTCATCCTCTTCATCAGACCGCTGTTGCTTTTCTTCATCCTCCCCTCCTTCTTCTGCTGCTGCTACTGTTTCTCATCTTTTCCCTCCTGCGGCTTCTTCTCATCTTCCTCATCCACCTGCTAATTCTGCTTCTCCTCTTGCTCCTACTCCTGCTGCTCTCATTGCGTCTCCTTCTCCCCCTGCTGCTTCTCCTGATCCTCTTCATCACCCTGCTGCTGCATATCCTCATCCTCTTCATCCTCCACCTCCTTATGCTGCTTCTCTTCATCCTCCCCCTCATTCTGCTTCTGCTGATTCTCGTCCTCATTATCTCCTCCACCCTGTGCTCCTTCTCTTCATCCTCCTGCTGCTGCAGCTGCTCATCTTCATCCTCCCCCTCGTTCTGCTGCTCTTTGTCTTCCTTCTCCTTCTGTTTCTCCTGATTCTCCTCTTCATCATCCTCCTCCTGCTTCTGCTGTGCCCTATCTTCATCCTCCTGCCGCTGCTGCTCCTCTTCATCCTCCCCTTGCTTCTGCTGTTTCTCATCCTCATCATCATTCTCCTCCTTCTCCTCCTCCGCCTGGTACTATTGTGAACTTCCATATTGAGGTAATAAAAGCATGGTTTTGTATGACTGGGGTTTAGGGTTTGATGCTTAGCCAAGCCCACATGCTTCCATGTAGAATAATAATTTTGATAACTTTTAATCTGCCATGGTTCCAGAAAGGGCCGTGTGGCCTCAGGTTTTCTTTCCATCCAAGCAATAGCACACTAAACTCCAATCATCTCATCAAGGGAATCCAATCTAAACACGATGACTTGATGAGATGACTGGAGTCTGGTGAGCTATTGCTTGGTTGGAAAGAAAACCTGCAGCCACAGGGCCCTTTCTGGAACCAGTTTGACACCTGTGTGCTATGTCTATAGTCCATGCAAGGTGAATTTGAAGTCTCTAACTCAAAAAACCAACAGCCCTTCAATGAGATACGTCATGACTTATGTCTTAAGT